CAAATATATATATATATATACATATATACACATATACATACACACGTACGTATGTGTGTATATAAACAAAGGAATCTTCAACACCTTTGCTTGGAAAGAGGGAAGACGGAAGGTGATACCTCCATTGATAGGTAATGAGCTGGCATTGCCTTTGTTGGGAGGTTTTATATATATATATATATATATATATATATATATATATATTAAATTTATCTATTATTGTTTAAATATAACTGTTATATTATATACCATGCCTCCTTTTAAAAGAACTTGTGAGAAAAGCATTATTCGGTAAAAAAGATTCTAGATAAGTCGGAGATTTGAAGCTCTAATTTGAAAAGATATAATATATATTAATAATTATTTATGAATTTAAGGATTAATAAAAAATAGTTTAAAAATGAAGAGCATTAAATAAATACATTACCTTTATAAGGTAGGTTAATCAGCCATTACCTTTTACGTCATGTATTAATTAACATTAGAATTACATGAATAACACGTTTCATGAGAATTTTAAAGAACAATAATATCAACCAAGTTTGTTTTCCATAAATTTTCTCTCTCTTTTTAAATAGAGAGAGAGAGAGAGAGAGGTGGGAGGATAGCCCACAATATTTTCTTGGGGGAGGAAATTGCCCACAGATTCTTGTCAAAGTTTTTGCCCCCAAACGTTACACTAAGACAAGGCATCATTTTTGTTATAAAGATTGGGAAGAGATTAGGATAACCTCGTCCCTATGAGTTAGACACCATGCGGTGTGCTAGCGAGGACGCTCGCCCCCAAAAGGGTAAATTATGAGATCCTGAACTGTTACAAATAGTATCAGAGCCAGACACTATGTCAACAAAGACTCTGATCCCCAAAAGGGTAAATTATGAGATCTCGAGCTTGAACTGTTACAAATAGTATCAGAGCCAAACACTGTGACAACAAAGACCCTGATCCCCAAAAGGGTAAATTATGAGATCCCGAGCTTGGACGGTTACGAATAGTATCAGAGCCAGACACTGTGCCAGCAAAGACCATAATCTCCAAAAGGGTAAATTATGAGATCGAGTTTGGACTGTTACAAATAGTATCAGAGCCAAACACTATGCCAACAAAAACCCTGAACCCCAAAAGAGTAAATTATGAGATCCCAAGCTTGGACGGTTACAAATAGTATCAGAGTCAGACACTGTGCCAGCAAAGACCCTGATCCTCGAAGGGAGGTGGATTGTGAGATCCCACATTAGTTGGAAAGAAGAATGAAACATTCTTGATAAGGGTGTGAAAACCTCTGCCCGTGGACAAGTTTTAAAACCTTGAAAAGAAGTCTAGAAGAAAAGTCCAAAAATGACAATTGAGTGGGGTTCAATTTGGTATCTAATTAGATTTTCGATATGCATGCACTTGTTTAGAAGACTTGATAACTAGTTTATTGCTTTTAAGTGCCACATGAAATTTGAGGCCTCCACCTCCACTACAAACATACAAGCAAGCAGGCAGGCAGATAGTCCCATTGAGATAATCAGAGCAAAACATGAAGTACAGAACTTCTGCAAATTTCAGCTCTCAAGGTTATTACACTAAAACATTTCAAATGATTTGGCTACAACTCTTTACTGAACTACACACATTCCCTATCTATCACCTTTTAATCTTCACATCCATAGTGTGATGAGAGAATCATGTCGTTCCAGGCTCTAGCTTCTAACGACATTACCGACCCCCTTCCGTGTATAAAGGGCAATCCGTTACATTTCTCCAAAGTTTTCACTCTCCATAGATGATTACTCCTCTGATTTTTTAGGTTTATTCTTGTTGCCATATATCAAACCAGTCTCCTGGGGATCAGGAATAGGTTTCCTCTTCTCGATGTATCGATAAGGATCCGTGGCTGCAAGAGCAGCTCTTTCTTGCTGTTCGCGTTTGAGGTCTTGGGAGGGCTTGACCCAGAGGAAGTAGGCAAGTGTTCCAGCGACTACCCAGGAAGCAAGATTGGTACCGCCTCTGAGACCGCCCATGGAGTTGCCGATGAAGGACCTGACATTCCCAACCGTTCTTCTCCAACTGCTAGCCATTGTAAGGAAAGAAACCAGACAAAATAGAAACCGAGGAAGAATTCAGAAGACGAACTATGTTTCAATGTACGATGGAAAATGTACCAAAAATCAGTAGAATTCGACAGATATAACTGGGCAAATACTTGTATCATTTGTAATGGGAATGTAGAGATCAAATATAAAGGCTAAACCGAAAAGAACGTTTTATAAAATAAAGAAAGTCCGGCGAACCAGAAAACAAAACGAAAATGAACTTACGGACAGCAATTTAGACAGATGAAAATAACAAGGACAAATTAAGAAGACGATGTACTAAGGACAAATTAAGAGGATAATGTACTAACTTTCTTATCAGTGGAAAAAGTAGAGAACAAGATTATAACGGCTCAAGCCCAACGCTAGCATATATTGTTCTCTTTGGACTTTCCCTTTCGAGTTTCTCCTCAAGGTTTTTAAAACGCGTTTGCTAGGAAGAGGTTTCCACACTCTTATAAAGAATGTTTCGTTCTCCTCCCCAACCGATGTGGGATCTCACAATCCACCCCAATACGGTGCCCAGCGCCTTCGCTGGCAATCACGCCCTTCTCCAATCGATGTGGGGCCCCCAATCCACCCCCTTTCGGGGCCTAGCATCCTTGCTGGCACACCGCCTTGTGTCCACCCCCCTTCGGGGCTCTACCTGCTCGCTGACACATCGTCCAGTGTCTGGCTCTGATGCCATTTGTAATAGCTCGCTAGTAGATATTGTCCCTCTTTGGGCTTTCCCTTTCGGACTTCCTCTCAAGGTTTTTAAAACGCATCTGATAGGGAAAAGTTTCCACACCCTTATAAAGAATGCTTCGTTCTCCTCCCTAACGGACGTGGGATTTCACATAGATGGTAGAGAGAAAACTATAAACTGACAAGGAGTAGGTAGCTTTGATGTTCATAGAACCCAGTCAACTAGAACAATATTGAAATAAAATAGATAGAAGAGCTACAATATAATCCAAGTATTTGAGGTACTTGGAGTTTGGATCCTCCCCTCTTTTGAGTATACACACTCAGCCAAAACCATCAAAGCAATTGTCGAGCTTTCTCTTCGCCCAAATCGACTCCTACTAACGAACTCCTCGAGCCAATAACCCAAACACTCTAATAACATCCATAACCAACCTAATACCATTGCTATCAGTTGTCTATGTTTATTTGAAACAGAAACCATTTGAAGAAATAAACATCTCCTCTTACTAAACACCCCTCAGAGCCTGAATTAGACATCGGATTAAGAAGCCATAATTGAAAGATGTACTCATCTGATGTCGACGTATGGGTACCCACGTCTACTGATACCAAGTAACCACCAGCTACTTAAGAAACACCAGAGTTAATCTTTGATTTTAAATTCTAAGCTAACCAACTAAGCATAAGCATTAACTTAGACAACCATTCAAAATCCTGCAGAGAATATAATAGCATAGACGTTCCCTGCACAGCCATGTATTCTATGATCCTATAAGCACGATCCTATTTGGTCAAATACCTAGCGACAAACTTCTATCTTCCTTTCATTATAGTATTTCTGAACAAGTTCCCGGATAACAACCCTAAGGGTTTTCTTATTGATGATAGTGACGATATTTATGATAGTGTTGATATCGACCGTGACCTTGATATGGAGTTGGAGCTTCTAACTATGATGAATGCGCCGCTAACTAGGATATGAGGCCGGATTCACTGCGATCAATAAGGGATCATGATCCAAAACAAGAAATCTAAGGCAGAACTTTACTAGGGTCCAGGTATTTTGTTCAGTAAATCTGAGATTTCTCTTCTATTAACCTGCCTTTTCATAAAGAAAACGTTGCACATCGTCATTCATTCCAAAATTCTACCATCCAAGAGAATATAAACCACCACATACGAGAATTTCTAAGCAATCAAAACCACAAAAGATTCAAAGCATCATAGCAGATACACCTTAAGTGAGACTCAAATAAAAACCAGTCCATTCTTAAAATCTAGATCGAAAATATTCACGAATTTCTCCACTAATCCTCAACGGCTCACACCAATCCAACAAGAAAAAACCAATTCGCAAGAAAATCTAAACAGAGATAAAGAAAAGGACTCTGAAACCAAAATCAGGTACCTTGAAGTCATTATCAAATTGAGCGATCAAACGCGTCAATACATCAAAGACGATTACAGCCGATGAAAGAGCAGGACAAATATCAGTGAATCCTGAAAAAACTCGAACAAAAAACTGAGTTTCATCACCACAATCGCACCCAAAAAGGGGCCGGGGCCCAATCAAACATTGAAGATCAACAAAATTCATTAAATTACCGATGGGAAAGAACCCTAAAGCTCAAATTCAGAAGAATAATCAAGATAAGAAGTAGCTGGCAGGCGCTGTTAAGAATCAAAATCAGGATGATAAATTGAAGCACGAAAGGGAACGGAAGAGCCGAGATTTTTACTATCTTTTTTGCTGTCTAGTTTCTCGCATACACTTAAATACAAAATTTCAATAATATTTTTAAATTTGAAAAAATAAATTTACTATTAATTTTGGACACTTTTTTTTTATAAAAAAAAATTCGAATTATATTTAAAAAATACTTTCAAATTTAGTAAATATTTATTTACCCATAATTTAAAATTTTTATAAAAAAAATTAAAAATAATTTGGTTTATGTACTAATGGTAGTGACATTTTTTTTTAAAGTTTTTATAAAATTTTTGTTTTGAAGTTAATATATTTTTTAATGGTATTAATAATTTTTTTAAAATTCTCCTGTGTGAAAGTACAAAACTGTCCTCCATACCCCATCCTAGGGATGGATACACGTACTAGCCTGCATGGCTGGCGGCATATATGGCATTATTAATTTTTTCGGTAGTTATAGAATTTAGTTGGGGGTATTTTCGTAAAATAACGCAAGGACTTTTAATCTATAAATAAAAGGTTTCTTCAATTTCAATCCTTATTCTTCAATTTGACCCGCGAGACGACTACAACTGCGAAAGATAATCCATCCCAATTCGATCAGCAATCAGGTACGACGACTTTGGTCTCTCTTCTCTTAGGGTTCATAGTTCTAGGGTTTTTACTATGCTTTCAATTTGCAGATTATGTGCTCTATTCTTACTTCCTGTCACCTAGGGCTCTATTCTATCTGTGACAAGAATGGGATTTTCCTGAGCTTTTAGTTATTGTTTGCTTTTGATTCTTTCCGTAGTCGATGAACTGATTTTTTTGAGTAATGGAACTTGCATCTTTTATACTGGTTTTATTTTGGTCGTTCATGAGTTGAACACGAATGTTTTGGGATTATAAGGATGGACGGTGAACTTGAGTTCTGATGTACGAGAATTAGTGGCTTATTGAATGATTGATATGTTCGATGATTTAGTGTTTATAACCTTTTAAGTTTCATTGCATCCTCGTTTTGAAGACTGATTAGTAGTGATGTTGTTTATGGATGTGGACAGCCTCACGCCATAAGAAATGGGGAAAAGGAAGTCGAGAGCGAAGCCCCCACCTAAGAAGAGAATGGACAAGCTTGATACTGTTTTTAGCTGCCCCTTCTGCAATCATGGCACCAGTGTGGAGTGTCGCATGTATGTTTGCATTTGGTTCATTTTTAGTATCTCGAGGCACAATGAAAAAGCTGGTTATGATATGTATTATCATTAGCTTGTCTCATGGATTAGTCTCTCTGTTTATGTGCCTCATTTGTTTTGTATTGTGATGAGGGTGTTTGTGTGGTTTTAGTGATATGAAGAACTTGATTGGGGAAGCCTCCTGTGGAATTTGCCAAGAAGGCTTTAGCACATCCATTACAGGTATTCTCTTCAAGCCTCTAATTCTACGAGTGTTCTTGCCTTTTCCCATCTGTTTTGTATGTTTCAATTTATGCTTTATATTATGATGCGATTGAAGCATTTTAGGATTCTTTATGTTTGAATAGTTTGAGTTTGGTCTGAACTCTACCTAGGCTCATGGGAGTATTCTAATGAACCCCATTTTATCTGTCACAAAATAGATGGATTATGGAAGATTTCTTTTGCAGTTGTCCCTTCCATTCACGACTATATTTTCGTTCCTGTGGTAGGGAAGTTTATAAATGCTAGGGGTTGGATTAGTATTTCTGATTGGTTTGGGTTGGGTTGGATTAGTATGTCTGGTTGGGTTGGGTTGGGTTGGATTGGGTTGGATTAGCATGTCTGGTTGGGTTGGATTGGGTTGGGTTGGATTAGTATTTCTGGTTGGGTTGGGTTGGGTTGGGTTATTTTTCCTGAACCCGAATCGGTTTTAGTTTCGGGTTCGTAGGACAAAAATCTTGGGTTGACCTAAACCAAACAAAACTTATATAATACATACGCTAAGAAATCAAGCATATTTGCGGGTTTGGCAGAGTGGCGTACTAGAATTACTCTATGCGCGCAGGTTGGTCAAATTTATTTTTTTATTACTTTATTATTTTTAATTTATTTTATTACTTTACTATTTTTAATTTATTTTTTTATTACTTTACTATTTTTAATATTTTTTATTTAAGATTATTTGAATAATTAAGAAGGGTGGATAAATAAATAAAATTTATTTAAAAAAAAAAAAGAAAAGTTAACAAACTGACAACCCAACCAGAGAATAGAAATTGGGTTGTGAAAATTTTTTAGTTGGGTTGGGTTATCAATCCAACCAAGAACTTTTGGGTTGGGTCAAAAAAAGCCCTCAACCCAACTGGACCATTTACACCCCTAATAAATGCAATGCAGATTCTATGAATAATTATGAATGGCTGATAAATAAATAAAATTTAATTTTTTTTTTTAAAAGTTAACGGACAACCCAACCAGAAAATAGAAGTTGGGTTGTGAAATTTTTTTGGTTGGGTTGGGTTATCAATCCAACCAACCGAACTTCTGGGTTGGGTCAAAAAAAGCACTCAACCCAACCGGGACCATTTACACTCCTAATAAATGCAATGCCTCTAAGTCTAGGTCATTATCTATGATTTAGTTTAACCCATGTCTAATACGGGGCTTACAGATTGTTGTCATTAGTCTGTCTTGGGATAATTAAGCTGCACTAATATTTCTTCTCTCTTATTTTTCAGCCTTAAGCGAGCCAATAGACATGTAAGTAAAAACTAAATGCCGTTGGTTTTTGTCAATATTAATGTTCTATAGTGCTTCGGTTGACATGATGTTCTTTTGATCAGATATAGCGAATGGATCGATGAATGTGAGCGGGTCAACAACCCTGAAGACGATGGTGCTTAGGGGGGGATCAATTGGGACGTTTTCTGTATGAAAAGAAGCTGGCTAGTTCGAAGTTCCTTTGATGAATCTAAATTAAGAGGAGGGGATCTTATTGGTAGGTATGACAACACTCCTACTCTCGTAGCGTGTATGTACAGTAGTATGTTGTGATAGACAAGTGTGTGTACGGTAATATGTTGTGATGTCTTGCATGTTGACTTAATCTTGAATTTTAAGCACCTGTAACTTCGTTTCCTTATTTTGAGTCACGAGTCTTGTGGACACAAATAGTAAATGTCACTGCGAATTTTCGTGGGATCCTGAAACCTCATTTTGTTAATGAAATATTGAAGGGTGTTGTTCTACTTTGTTTTGCTTTGTGTCAATGGTTGTGCTTTCAGCATAGACTCTTTGAAAGTTCTTTAGACATTTTTAATTCTTCTACACTGAATTGCTTGAAAGGATGTTAAGTCCCTTTTATAAACGAAGGCGATGAGATGTACTGTGGTATTGTTAGCCGGGAGGAGAGATTTCTCTCCCATTAGCTAAACAGGGCTTGGAAATGAGATTATATTTTCGGTTTCCAACTCTCCTCCACCCCCACATGCATACATTTACAGGCGTACATAATACATACATTTACCTGCGTCGTTTGGGATCTGGGCTCTTCTACGTCGGTTTTATTTACTTATTATTTTTGTTTTTGTTTCCTTCGATCATTACTTTAAGTCTCATAGGTTTGATCCGGTAGATTCTAACCCATTTTTTCATTGAGTGAAAGGTACGAAATAAATTAGATTGATTTTTCAATCAAAAGTACTATGTGGAATCTTCGTTTTTTTTCTAATTTTTATCGGCAATTCTCTAATTAAATTATGTAGGATCACACAGTTATGAAAACTTTTTCCTTGTTTTTGTTTATATTCTTTTTCTAGTCTCCTTCGGCAATGACTTAGACGACATTACAAGTTATAATATGGATATTGTGAGGAAGATTATTTTATCTTTTTTATTTCGTTGTTTTTTTTTACCACGCAAATAGCACATATTTATACACACACACACATATATATATATATATATATATATATATATATATATATATATATATATATATATATATATACTATACACATACATGTAGAAACTCGATCCTCGTAAATTTTAATCTTCGGAACATGGAAGAATTTTAAAAGATGAAAATAGAAATAAGAAATAAGAATGTTTTTTTCGCTCGAAAAATTAATTAATTAATTACTGATGTTTTTACAAAGCAAAAGATATGGGCAATCCTCATATTGATTAATTTTTTTTTTTAACTTTATGGTTAATCTTTTTTTAATAATGTTATGAAGATTCAAAATAATTTATTAAATGTTTAGTCTAAATACGGTCATGAAAAATTTATTTAAAAAAAAAAAAAAAAAAAAAAAAAAAAAA